TACACATTGCCCCCCCCCCACAGCAAGCTGGGTCCTCATTTTACCAACCTTGGAAGGATAGAAGGCTGAGTCAACCTTGAGTCGGCTACCTGGGATTTGAACCCCAAGTTGGGATCACAGTTTTAGTTGCAGTACAGCAGTTTAACCACTGCGCCATGAGAAAACACATGAATAGACCTAGAAAATACAATCGAAATTTTCCCACATTCAAAAGAGTAAACCATACTGAGATCATGAAGATCGTTGACTCAGTTCTCTGACTTAGTTCTAGGTTAGCAAATGATTCATCTAGACCATGTGATTATATAAATGCGTAATCCAATAAAATGAAGACCGGTTAGGGATTTCCATTGCTAATATTGCAAAGGTGATTTGCATTATGTGGTATGTTTTGTGTTGCAAGACTGGTTGTACAACGATTACCTAACTGGTTGCACAACCGATCATGTGACACAAACTCACCAGGTTTTACAGCTGCCTAAGCAAATTTAATGAGCACAAATTCCCGGAAGGACACTGCCCAGAGAATTATAATCCACAGCACACTATACAGTTAGACCCACCTAACTCTCTAGGAATTGCTTCCAAGTAGATCTGACAAAGTCCAAACAAGCTTTCCCTTAGCTACTGGCTGCCTGAGTGGGTTGTTTTCTTTAATGGATCATACTTTATTATTCTGAATTTCTTTTAGAGTTGTTTTCATTTACCATTTTTAGTGTGGTATTTGTTTAATCCTTTTATTATCATATATTTAGCCTTACATACTGTCTTTTAATGATGCAAGCTACCTTGGGTCCTTTTTTAAGGAGAAAGGTGGGTAAAAATGTTTGTTTGTTTGTAATACTTATATGCCATCTCCATCGTAGGTTGTGGAGTTCAGATGTATTTCTTCACTCTCTTTGGCGTCACTGAATGCTGTCTTCCCTGTGTCATGGCATATGACCGATACGGTGCCATATGTAAACCCCTGCAATATTCATGCACGATGAGGCCTCGAGAATGTTGTCAGCTTGCTGCTGTCTCATGGGCTGTTACCATTATGGTTGCTTTGGGGCAGTCAATTTCAATATTTACTCTTCCCTTCTGTGGACCAAAAAGAATCAGCCATTTTTTTTCTGTGACATTCTGCCTGTTTTGAGACTGGCTACTACCAACACCATCAAGAATGAGGTGGTAATTGTCATGATAGCAGCGTTCTTTACCCTGGTACCCTTTTTGCTCATCATCTTGGCCTACATTCTCATCATCACCAATATCGTAAAGCTGTCTGTGGCCAGAAACAGACACAAAGCCTTCTCTACCTGTTCTTCACACCTAATTGTCGTCTCACTCTTCTTTGGAACGGCCACATTCGCTTACATTCAGCCCAAATCATTCCATTCTTGGAATCCTGACACTGTCCACTTTCCCTCCTGTACACAGCAGGGACACCAACTTTTAATCCCATCATTTACACCAGAGATAAAAGCTGCCTTCAAGGAATCCATAACAAGGAAGAAAGCCCTCTTCAGATAATAATTGTGTTCTGCCAAACCAGTTGCATTTCTTGGCCGCACAAATGGCTGACCCAGTTTCTGATGTGATGCAGATAAATTTGGCCCTCACGGCTATTCCTGGAACACAGGGCCACTTCCCCAATGGGAGGACTTACCCTAGATTACCTAATCACAGAGAATAAGAGGCAGGAAAAGAGAAGGAATAGCTCCACTTCAAAAACTCCAAAAGGGAGAAAGTGAATATAAAAAAGAGAGCACCCCATTTATTTAGTCAATTATTTAGAGTATTGTTTTTTAAAGCATTTCTTTATTTTAAAGCTTTTCGAGAAGTGCAGAGCAGTACACATAGAACAGAAGTTCAAGTACAACTACTCTAACAAGCAGCATCAGCAAGAAACTAGAAAGCAACAAAAGTCACAGCAGCCAACATCGCAACAATGATGATGATGATGTGCTGGTAAGTCCATTCTATTTAGGATGACCCTTTTTTGAGTTTTCTAGGTGGAGAGTACATACGGATCCTCTTGGGGAGGGAGTTAAAGAGACAGGGAGCTACTCCAGAGATGGCCCTTTCAAACCCTGTCACTTTTCCAAAAAGTTGGCAAGGTGACCAACATATTATCCGTGGAAGATCGTGGTTCTCACCCTGCAGTACATCAAAAAAGAGATGGTCCTTCAGATAAAGTGATCCTACGCTGTTTAGATTTTCACATCTCATGTTTGGGGCACAGACGTGATGATCAAAGCCCGTCAGTAATGAGGCCAGGATAGAGGGCCTTCCCAGTCTTTGAGCTGCATTAAAGAAACCTCCCTTCTAGAAGGCTAATCAACTGCTTCGATGCCCTTTCATCTGACCCTGAACTGAAATGAGATTGTTGTGATTTTTTTAAAAAATCTGGAACATTAACATTCCTGTTACATTTCTGGAAAAACATCACAGCACTATTTTTAGAGCTGGTCATAGCCCCTGGTGTTCCTTGTCCAGTGTCTTTTGCCTTTAGCCTTCTTTGTTCTGTGATTGGTCACTGCACGATCAACACAGGCTTAATTTGTAAGGCATCTGTTCCTGCTGCAGGAGGAAAAACATGAGAAAAAGACTCATTTGCCTTCATGTCACAGTTGACTCTCAGCTTATTTTGATAGGGATCAGAATCTGAAAATGGTATGTTTTGGGCTACAGCATATCCAGTGCAATCTATCTGGGGAGACTGGGATGTGTAGTCCGAAAAATGTTTCCCAGCTCTTCGAAGGACCCCATGCACATACAATATAGCTAGAGTGTCCCTCTCACATTATGTTTGCAAGTCCATTTAAACACCTGGGACTTTCTCAAAGTTAGTGTCTTGGGATATACCATCAAAGGTGGAGAAAGGGTCAAGTCCGCATTATTCATAAGGCAGACTAGGCTGAAGCCTATGAGGCCCGGAGGGACGAGGGACCCATCAATTTATTTATATATTTATTTATTTATTTGCTGAGATGCCCCAGAACTGTCAGCTGTAGTGGGGTGAAAGACTGAAGTACTGAAGGGGGGCTGAAGTACCTATAAGCTTTGGGGGCTGGTCATGGGTTAATACAGTCTAGAAACGGTCACTGCCTAATGTGGGATCGCTGGAGGAGGGTGAGACAACGGGAATAAGAGGATGGGATTTGCAAGGCTCTGGGGTGTTGGCCATGTCAGATGAAGGGGTAGCTTCCGAGGAGGCCGTTGCGGACTGGGACCCCATCTTCTATGGTTTGCCCATGGAGGGAGCAAGGATCTGAAGCTCTGGTAATGCAGTCCCAGCTGACCAGCCTCATCACCGTGTTAGCATCCTTGCTGCCCAACGAGAGTTGGGGAGCCTACCCCCAACCTAGCTTTAGCGTTGTCAACACAAGCAGCAACAGGCGTAGCAAAGGGGCTTCAGGAGAAGAAGCATTGTGGAGCCCAGCTCTCATCACCCGCCAGTTCTCATCACTCTCCTGAAAAGAACTGTGGCCTGGATCAGGACTCATACCTCCCACCCACTTCTCTGGACATGGACTTTCTAGGACCCCAATGAAGTCAACTGGGAACCTAAGAGAAAGGACAGCAGGGGATGACACTGTGTCTTTAATAAAAACTGCCATAAGTGATAAAACCAGGCCAGAACCCATGGAATCTTTTTAGTCTTTGATCTTCCTTGTTGATGACCTCAAGGCATATGATGAAGCTATCTTACTAAAGTTAATGTTGCTCTACATGTGCTTTATTTACATCCTAGAAATCAATAAAAAGGAATTCATCTATGCTAGCAGGGATAGTTCAGGAGCCAATGAGGCAGATTTGGGAGCCAGGAAAGCTGTGGACCCTTTGAAATCTTAAAAGATTGTCCAGCACATCTACTGGGATACTCCCGAAATTGTCTCCTTTACCCACTGTCATGTTTGGCATTCCAAGGAATACTCACAGACATTTCACAGAGGACTCGCTGCTTTCCTGATATACAAGAAATGCAAGCTTACAAGTCATCAGATCAGAACTGGCAAGTTGTATTTCATTTGGGTTGGTTTTCAAACCAATGAAATGTACGTGATTTTTCCCCCAGTCAACTGGTTTATTGTTTGTTTATGTTTATATTTGTCATTGTATTGTTTGTAAATTAGATGCATTGGTTGTTAGCCTCCTGGCGTGTGTGCATCACCCTACTGGGCAGTATAAGTTAATTAAATAAAATAAATAAATAAAAATTGAAAATTATTGGAACCAAATGAAGAAGCAATCGCAGTTTCGAACTACGTGTATCTCATTTATTATTATTTAAACATAAATAAGAGTTTTTATCATTAAACACGTTTGCTGCTCATCATAACAAAATCAAAGGCATTTTACAGATGAAAACAGAGAACTCGAGACACTATTAAAACAATGTCATTAGAAATGTTTTAAATCCAATAAGCACTGAGATAATGTATACAATGGAATGTTCCATATACAAAAAAAGCCTCAAAATATCCTTAGCAATATAAAAAGACTCCAAAAGTCTAGCTCAAAAAGTGCATCTTAAATAGCTGGGGAAATAAATCCACTGAAGACCCACAGACTCTCTTACTGCATTTGAATCACACAATAAGCCATGGTTTAGAATGGATTACCTATGATTGCCTGGTTTAGTCATAAGCTACCGGTGCAGGACCTTCACCACAACTCATCACACAACTAGTCTGGAGTCAGATGTTGTGTGCCATCAACTCATCTCTGGCTGATGATGACCCTATAGCAATAGTTTATAAGGGTGTTAACAATCCCAAATTTGTTCCGGCCCCAATCCATTTATAGCTTCATTCCATGAGCAATGTGGCTTGCCAAAATCTACACAGAGCAAGCAAGTAAGAAGACAAGATTTGCTTCCTTCACATCCTTTGTACATGTTGACAACATCTTTATTATTATTATTATTGGTTGAAAATGTAAGTTACTTTGCACTGGACAGAAGATGATAAAATAAAGGGATGATCCTATGTTTTTTTTTAGCTGTCCTAGCGCTAGCGCCGTTTATGGATCAGCATTCTCTTCAAGGACGCTTTCACCTCTTTGTTTCTAAGACTGTAGATCAAGGGGTTCAACAAAGGGGTAATCATCCCATACAGCATACTCACCAGTCTGTCCTGATCTAGATGGTGGCTGGAGGATGGCCTTATGTAAGTGAAGATGGTGGTCCCATAGAAGAGACACACCACCAAAAGGTGAGAAGCACACGTAGAAAAGGCTTTCTGCTTCCCCTCTGTGGAACGGATCCTTAGGATGGTGGCAACGATGTGAGTGTAGGAGAGCAATGTGATCAAGAAAGCTCCCGTGCCAAAAATCCCACCCACAACGAGGACAACCATCTCCGCCACATAAGTGGAAGCAGAAGATAAGGCCAAGACTGGCGGGATGTCACAGTAGTATTGATTGACCCTGTTGGATTTACGATAAGGGAGAGTGAAAGTCATCGCAGTGTGAAGCAAGGAATTGAGGAACCCAGTGATCCACGTACCAGCAGCCATCCCAAGACAGAGCCTTTTGCTCATAATGATGGTGTATCGCAAAGGATTGCAGATGGCCACATAACGGTCATAGGCCATTACGGCTAAGAGGAAGACCTCTGTCCCCGCCAGAGCCACCAAGAAGTAGAGTTGCAAGACGCAGCCAGCAAAGGAAATTACGCTATTGTCTGTCAAGAGGTTCTCCAACATCTTGGGCACAGTGGCTGTGGGGCAGAAGATGTCAAGCAAGGAAAGGTTCGTGAGGAAGAAATACATGGGGTTATGCAAGTGGGAGTCAGCTCCTATGGCAACAAGGATGGTGCCGTTTCCAACAAGGGTGACCAAGTAGATGAGCAAAAAGACAATAAACAGGGAGAAGCGGACGGCTGGGAGATCAGAAAGTCCCATTAGGATAAACTCTGTCACTCTGGTGTCGTTTACTACTTCCTGGCTCAGAGGTGAAACTTCCTGCCAGAATTTAAAAATATAAGAGGCATATTAGGTCCTTCAAAAGATAAACAAACACATCTACATGAGCCTTCTTTGATTCAGTGTTTATTAGATCAATAGCTGCGTGTCATCCCATGCATCTCTCTCTTACTTTGTTAATCTGATGTGGCCACCTGGGTTGTTCATATACCTTATACAGCAGAAGTTAACATCAATGCAACATTGAGAATATAGTATAATATGCAATATATGAAATGACAATTTAAATGTAACACGATAATAAAGTGTGGCGCTTATGGTTGTGGGTTTTTCGGGCTCTTTGGCTGTGTGACGCTTATCTTCGAGCAAGGGCAGAACAATAAGCAGCTCATAGTAAAAGGAAAGAAGCAACAGACACAGATAATAAGGGGAACAGAAGAAGATCTGAAAGTCCCGTTAGGATTAATTATGTCACTATTTTTCCATTGCCAAGCTCAAAGGATAACTCGCCTGCAATAGGATGAAGATACATTGAAACATGAAATAGACATCAGATATATATGTACTGATAGGTGAAGATCTTCCTGGGTAAACATATGGAAAATATTTATCAATAGCCATAAGTCACAACAATCAAGAGTTCTGGATTCAGAAATCTTCTGTCTCCATTTTCGCTTGTACAGGGCACAAACAGTGTGGGTTCACTCACAATGTCATGCCCTCCAGAGACTATATTTTTCTGTCTACTGAACACAAGACAAAATGAATCTGTGCTCTGATTCATAGAAGTGGTTTTTAAAATGAGCTTAAATAGCCATGATAAACCACATTGAAACTGGTATATATGTTAAACGGGAATAGTTTTCCTATGCCATAAGTATGCCTAAAATCCTAGTGGTTTTTTTTCCTTCCTCTACATCTCAGACATTTACATCTTGATATATACATATACCACTGAGGTTATTCACAGGATTGAGGCAATTTACTGCACTGTATCATTTTCTTTCCATGTTCTCTCTTTCTCTCTCTCTCTCTCTCTCTCTCTCTCTCTCTCTCTCACACACCCACACACCCATCTCTCTCACACACACACACACACACACACACACACACACACACACACACACATACACACACAGCGTCTCGCATATGCCCTCCCTCTCTCTCTTTCTCCCCCTGACACACAAATATCTCCTCTGTGCTTCTTTCCAATCCATGTTAAATCACTGCTGTTTATGTTTTACGTCCTCGTTGCCTGATCTTGAAAATGTCCTCTCATCAATAACCCTGCTCAGTCCTTATGAACCCAAGGCTGTAGCTTTCTTTATGGAGTCTTCCTCTTTTCCTGCTGCCTTCAACTTCTCCTAGCATTACTATCTTTTCCCGCAAGCCTTGCCTTCTTATCATTTGCCCAGAGTTGGCAGCCTCAGTTTGGTTGTTACACTTAAGTCATGACATTACACAAAATGAAAGACTCACAGTCATTCAAAGAAGGGTCACATCAACATGAAGGGAGGACTCCTTTGCTTTTAAGAGGTGCACAGTACGCAACCCTAGTGAATGGCACAAGAGGCCAATACCCTGTTTTTCCTGTTCATTGTCCTGTTTCCCATAACAATCACGTTGATGCCTCCAGAAATTCCGTGTATACAAAACATCAAAGCAACAAGCCTTCAAGGCTGTTCTGTCCCTGTCACACGGACTCTGAGGTCTGGCTTGTCTGCTATGGCAAATATTTCTTAAATGTCCTTTATTTCTTTCTCTAATTGCCTGCTAAATCTCATCTGTGCTAGTACTATTGCTACATTTTCCGGCAGTATCTTCTGATAGAAGAACGCCTCCAGACAACCCAGCTGTTCTCCCCTGAATGATTTCCTGTCACCATACCATATAATTGAGTGACTGTGAATTCTAACATTAAAACCAAGAGCTTCAAAAGGTTCACCTCTTCACAGCATTTCACATTTCTCAATAATGTGCATTGCTTACTTTCCTGCATTTTCTTCTTTTAATAAACATCTGCACCTTTTTTTCTGATTATGCATGTTATTGACTCTTGCTATCCAAAATTACCTGCTAAGCAAACACACGATAATGTTCTGTTTACAGCATAACCAGTCATACAGATGCTGTTGAACTATGATAGACTTAAATTAACATTTTCACTTAAGAAAACTCTTTCCTTGGGGCACAGTGTAAAGTGCACCACATTAGCTATCCTCATCTTTTTGGTTCCTCTAAGATTCCATTTCATATTACCTTCTCTGCTCTCCTGCTCTTGAATTGTACTTGTTCCAAACACATGCATGCTTAAGCCTCCCATTTGTATTATCTGGACCTCTCCCATCATGGTAACCCTGTAAAACAACACTCACTGATAGCATCTTCCTTAGGTTCATTTCCAGAAGAAAATGGCAGAGAATTCCTTTCATGAGATCACAGAAAGGTTTATCTGTTCCTCTGGGTGCCCAGTCCTTTTTTATCACTCTGCTTGTCAAGCGCATAGGGAAATGGCCACCTCAGAGGCCACACCCAATACATCATTCTGTGGCAGACACGATAGCAAAAAAACAGTACATAAATTCATAGGAGACTAAGTGTACTGCTCATTTCTAGAGTTTGAAAAGTTTCTTTCTTCTAAAATCAGCTGCTTCTCATTACGGCTTATAAGATAGAATCCTGTTGCACAGTGTTACAGTGCACAGCCATGTTGATTTCATCAACCACAACTATTTGGGAAGAAATAAAAGTTTCCAACCCAGCCCACTCCCTGGATTCTGGATAACCCTAAGGATCCTTTTCATCTGGGGGAAGGCTTTGGGAGCTGCAGAGCAGGAGAAGAACCTCTTTACACTCCCGAAAATCACTACCATCTGTTCCACCAGTTTGACCCTAAGGCCTGATCTCATGAACTCATTCAGTTCAAAAACAAATAAAATCTCTGACCTACAGCTATGTGGCCCATAGGTGTGATTTCAAAAGCCATCTGTAAGTGAATTGGTTCAGGCTTCCTCACATCAGTGTCTGTTTGTTGTGGTACCCAGGGTACTTTTTACTGTGAGACAGAGAGCGAGAGGGATAACCCACTCGCTGAAAAGCCGTCCCTCCTCAACAGCAGAGATGGAGAGGTGGACCCCAAACCCACACCCAAACCTTCGGTGGAGCCTCCATGTGAGACAGTGATAGAGAAGCTGATGGAAGAGGTACAGAAAGTGACAACAGGGGAAGTTCAGGAGGAAAACGCAGGAAGGGACAGAAGGAAGAGGGTGGAGTCTGAAGCAGGAGCGGGGAAAGTGGAAAGGAGGGAAGAGCAGTTACCACCTGGTTGGGAATGGGTGAGGATGCAGGATCCGTGGACTGGATTATGGGAGAGATTGGGAGTGCCAAAGGAGGAGTCAGACTACAGGAGAAGAGTAGAGATTCCCCCTAGATCTCAAGTGATCTCCAGGGTCCCAGGGACCCTGGGACTGTATTTATAGAAACCCTTTCTTGTTCGACGAATGGAAGCCCCTTCCAGACCAGTTGGCAGAAGGAGGAAAAAAAACTCATAATCATATTCCAGACACTGGTTTAATGTTTAATCCTCCAATAAATCCCACGCCTGTTTTGAAGCAACACGGATCTGCTGATTTCTTTGAATCAAATTTGGAGTCTAAAGTCGAACCCTCACATTTACCACATTTCAAATGTGCCCACGGACTCACAAATGTGGGAGCTCTATAGAACAGACAACAGACATACAGCCTTTTCGGCCCCGAGGACTGCATCCAAATCAGCTGCAAAAAAGTGTCTGTCCACCCCTTGATACGTGGGATGAAGAGATTTAATCCTCCCTTCCCCATCTGCTGATATTTAGGAACCACCATGTTTAATGTGTCATCAAGTCACTTCAGATTTACGGCAAGCCTAACAGGACTTACAAGGCTTTGGAGATGTTCAAAGAATGATTCCACCAGTGCCACACACACCCAAGTGAATTTCTGTGGCTGAGTGGGGATTAGAACCCAGATCTCCTGAGTCCTGGTCCAACTATCTTCCCTCAACACTGACTCTCCAGAAATTACTATCAAGGGGAGGATGGATGTTTTTCGTTTTCTCCCCTTCACAAACAAACCTCAATGGGCCTTGTTAAGAGTAATGAGAGAAGGGAGCACCTTGTAGTTCCTGTTACTCAAGAGCTACAATAGCATCGTTGCAAGTCAATAGTCTCAGAGGCACTGAAACGTCCATAGAATATCTGTCTGTAGCACTAAGAAGGTTGACCCTGTCCGCTGTCCATATAGTTCTCACCCAAGCAGCCACTGCTACCTCTGAGGCTGCAAGTAGTACATTCATAGGGGAAGGGGAAATCCTCCAAATAGAAAATGAGATATTTCAGCAAGGAGGGTTCTAGCCAAGTGATTCCCAACCTTAGGCAACCTAGGTTTTCTTGGACTGCAACTCCCAGAAACCCTGGCCAGCACAGTTAGTAGTGAAGGCCTCTGGGAGTTGCAGTTGAATGACACCTGGATTACCCAAGGTTGGGAACCACTGTTCAAGCCTACGCTTAAGAAGGATGAAAAAACTGAATTGATGCTACAGTAAGTGGAGGTCTCTTTAGATGCTAGTTGTGATCCCAGCACCTCCAGATGTTTCCTACAAATTCTTTGGAAATAACTGTATCTAATGCCTGTTCTATTTGAGACATTTGGTGTTGAATGGCTGGGTGGCTGGATCACTTTTACATTAGTGTAAGAAAGAAAGAAAGATACTCCACATATATCATGCCAGGATGAATATACTATCCATTCATATGTTGATAATAAACCCTCAGGTCTTTTTATATGAAATTATTGTCCCCTTCAATACTCAGCATCTCATTTTAAAAAAAGAACCAAATGAATATCTTGTGCTAGGACCAAGACTGGTTGCTGCCCAAAGAGAGAGAGAGAACATCCCCACTTTCTGGCACCCATACTAACCGGATCAGGAGTTGAGTGCATCTCAACATTGCAACTTTGAGATGCGATGGCTCCCAGAATCTCACAGGAAGCAGTGTTGGGGAGAGGAAGTCTAGGAGCTGTAACCCTCCAAAGTAACTTTTGCAAACACTAACTGAATGTTAATTCAATAGCGGTGACACGAATCCTTTTTTCACAGTTGAGGATAGCCAGGATTAGAGAACCTTGGTTGGCCACACGGTCGCACAGGACTTTCCCCCTCTTTCTCCTCTTCCTGCCAATAGCGCCAAATGAATATCTTGTGCTAGGACCAAGATTGGTTGCTGCCCAAAGAGAGAGAGAGAGAGAGAACATCCCCACTTTCTGGCACCCAAACTACAGTAACTAGAGAGAACATCCCCACTTTCTGGCACCCATACTAACCGGATCAGGAGTTGAGTGCATCTCAACATTGCAACTTTGAGATGTGATGGCTCCCAGAATCTCACAGGAAGCAGTGTTGGGGAGAGGAAGTCTAGGAGCTGTAAGCCTCCAAAGTAACTTTTGCAAACACTAACTGAATGTTAATTCAATAGCGGTGACACGAATCCTTTTTTCACAGTTGAGGATAGCCAGGATTAGAGAACCTTGGTTGGCCACACGGTCGCACAGGACTTTCCCCCTCTTTCTCCTCTTCCTGCCAATAGCGGCTGGTGCCCATTGTGCTGGGTGGAGCTGGAATGGGAGCAGAGGTAAAGGCGAAAGTGGGCATTCACAGACACATATATTCACACACACACACACAAAGAGGCAGTCGGCTATGGGCCATGTCCTTGATAACACAGATGGTTGTCCTTCATAGGTCCAGGATGCAACATGCACACCCCTGGAACTTGCAGGGCCACACCTGCTCCTACAACCTCATCCACCTCCCAAAAATGCTATGTAAAGTTTATATGTCCTTACAGAAAACTGCAGGCATCAGACATTTCTTTGAGCCCATTCTTTAGATAAAAGCGAAAGCAAAGCGTGCGCCTCATATACTGCTCCATATTTTTTAAAGGCTGGTGCCCATTGTGCTGGGTGGAGCTGCTATGTAAAGTTTATATGGCCATACAGAAAACTGCAGGCATCAGGCATTTCTTTAAGCCCATTCTTTAGATAAAAGCGAAAGCAAAGCGTGCTCCTTATCGCCTAAAGCACTCCCTGGGTGGTTTACAAGTCAGTTGTGCAGGCTACACATTGCCCTCCCCCTCAGTGAGCTGGGTCCTCATTTTACCAACCTCGGAAGGATAGAAGGCTGTCACTGGCTTAAAGCACTCCCTGGGCGGTTTACAAGCCAATTGTGCAGGCTACACATTACCCTCCACCTCATTGACTTGGGTGCTCATTTTACCAACCTCGGAAGAAGCAAAGGCTGAGTCAACCTTGAGAGGGCTACCTGTGATTCAACCCCGGGTCGTGAGCACAGTTTGGGCTGCAGCACAGCAGTTTAACCATGGTGTCACGAGGCTCCTAGATGCCATTAGATTTCAACTTCCACCAGCCCCCAGCATTTTGGCCAGTGGGCAGAGATGATGGGAGTTTAAGCCCCCAAAATCTGAAAGGATCACATGTCCCCCACCTCCGTTCCAGGCTTCTGAATGCAGACCGCGTTACCTTCTGGTAGGACTTGTCTCCATATGCTGGCTCTAGCAGGGCCGGGTAAAGACTCTTTTAAAGACATGACTGGATGCAAATCTCAGTAAACTGAATGCTCCTCCAACACCAAGAAACAGAAGAGGGTGGAAGGGCTTCAACTGGGAAAGATGTCTGTTTAGTGTCAGTAGACCGGATGTGGGTGAATGGACTGAAACGGAATCCAGACAAGGCAGAGGTCCTCCTGGTCAGTCAAAAGACAGATCAGGATAGGGACGTGGCCAATGCTGGATGGGGTTATGTTTCCCCTGAAAACTCAGCTGTCCAGCTTGGGTTGCTCCTTGATTCATCCCTGAGTCTCCGAGAGACTATAGTGCTTTTTTAGTTTCCTATTTATTGCCAATTAAAAATGACGAGGAGACATTCTAGGGCAAAAGTCAACTCAAACACTCTCCACCATTCCCTCATTAGTAGACAACCACTATAAGCATGAAACATAAAACTCATAAAAACCTGCATTTCATCCAGTACCATCACGACCTGAAGGAGCCTTGATGAGAAATGGACCCTGGTATCCGTCACCCACCAGGCGTTGCAATTTCAGATGTGGCCGAGCTATTTTACATTGGTATTACAGTATTTCAATATTTTGAGTTAATTTTTAGATTCACTGATATCAATTTAATGGATTGGCATTTTTGTGTCTGGAAGTTTAGTGATTAAGGCCTAAATCCATTTACTAGTCTCAAATAGAATAAGCTCCTTCAAGAAATAGGAGTTACTTAAGCGTTGACTTGCCATTTTAGCAATTGAGCCAATAGGTCTACTCTAACTAAGAGTATCGTTTAGGTGCACACCTTTGAAACTTATAAAAATAGAGCCAAAACAAAGTTCCGTTGTTAGGAATAGCCTAAATCATTTCACTCTGGATTATGAACGGAAAGCAAGTTGCCTCTTCATGGATCATATGAGAGATTTTCCTGATATTCTGATTCACATTCTTTTTCCTGACTACAAAGCCCAACAGGTTACTTATTATCTGTTCTCAAGGTGAGATGATTAATCATAGTGTAACTGCCTGTGAGATAATATGGACTATTGTGGAAAATTGGGGACGTGGTGGCGCTGTGGTCTAAACTGCAGAAGCCTGTGCTGCAGGGTCAGAAGACCAGCAGTTGTAAGTTCAAATCTACGCAACGGAGGGAGCTCCCGTTACTTTGCCCCAACTCCTCGCCAACCTAGCAGTTCGAAAGCATGCAAATGTGAGTAGATAAATAGGTACCACCTCGGTGGGAAGGTAAAACTGCGTTCCTTAGTCACGCTGGCCACGTGGCAACGGAAACTCTCTTCGGACAAGCGCTGGCTCTACGGCTTGAAAACAGGATGAGCACCGCCCCCTAGAGTCGGACACGACTGGACTAAAAATGTCAGGGGGAACCTTTACCTTTATTGTGGAAAATAAACACAGAAGCCAGTTCTCTGTTCAAAAGAGTTTTATTCAAAGAAAAACTTTACAGGTGGTTTCCTCATGTACACAACTGCAGGTATGAATTGGGACCCATTCCAGAAGCAATCATTTTTTACATTCTCCAAAGCATGGTTTACTACCCATTCTTCTCTTCAGAACTACTTTCACCTCCTTGTTCCTCAAACTATAGATTATGGGGTTTAGCATGGATGTCACCACTGTATAGAACAGGGCCAACAGCTTATCGCTTTCTGCTGAGTAGTTAGACTTAGGCCGAAGATAAGTGATAATTCCCGAACCATAGAACAGGGAGACTACAATTAGGTGAGAAGAGCACGTGGAGAAGGCTTTACGCCTTCCCTCGGCCGATGGCATCCTCAAAATTGTGTTAATGATGTACACGTAGGAGATGAGGATCATAAGGAAAGGAGCAGTGATAAAAAGGAGAGCCACCAAATATACAGCAATGACATTCATTGTGGTATCGCCGCAGGCTAACATCAGGAGGGGTGGGATGTCACAGAAGAAGTGGTTGATCCTATTAGGCCCACAATAGGTCAGGCTAAACACATAATTGGTTTGTCCCAGTCCTACCATTAACCCCACTGACCATGAGGCTATTGAAAGTTGAGCACAGACATACCAGTTCATCACAACACTGTAGCGCAAGGGATTGCAGATGGCGACATAGCGGTCATAGGCCATGGCCGCCAGGAGGCAACATTCTGTGATGCCGAAGAGGGTGAAGAAGTACATCTGGGTAGCGCAGCCCCAGAAAGATATCTTTCCATGCTCCAACACCAGACTGGCCAGCATCTTAGGAACAATGGCTGTGGTGTAGCATATTTCTAACAGCGACAGGTTGGTCAAGAAGAAGTACATGGGTGTATGGAGGGCAGGATGCAACTTGATCGTGGTGGTGATGACGGCATTCCCAGCGAGCGACACGATGTACATGGAGAGAACCAGCACAAAGAGGAGCATCCGCATCCACAGCAATTCAGAGAAGCCCACAAAGACAAACTCACTCACCGGGGAAGAACGATTAGCAGTAGTCCATGTCCAGGATTGTCTCATCTGTAGGACATTGAAGGATCAAAAGTCACCATACAGAAACAGGGCTTACAATTCCTAGAATTATGGTTACAGAATTCTGGGAGATGTAGTTCCCAGATGCTATCTTTCCAAGATTTTGGTCATGTATTATCCACCTTTCCCTCTTCCTGCTTCCTCCCCAGAACATGGATCTACTTGTGGGTCACACCCTCCAGCCTTGGAAGTCCTCACTCCTAACTGCCAGGATGTTTCGACTTGTGGCTGAAAGCTAGAAAGATGTAAACAACCTTGAATTTCTGGTACAAAATCTGGAACACGCTTTTGAACGGTACAACCCAGACAGGGATATGAGAATGTCATTCTGTATCCTTATATCTGTGGCACTCGGTAGCCAGGGGTTGGCTTTCACACAAGTGGCCATGTTCAAGTGGTTATCTTAAAAGTGCCATATGTGGAATGCACCAACAGTTGCTTAACAGTAATGAAATGCATTCTGTATTGGCATTCCCTTTTTTGTTGTTGTTCTGGAAATAAGCATCTTCTTGAAAGCAGTGTCCAAGGATCACACTGCTTGAGACAATCAATTTGCAACTAGAAGCTGGCTGTACACAAATCCTTCAGTTACTAGATGACTCAGAGCTCAGTCTGTGAGTGGTTAGAGCTGGAAAGGGAGCCTACGTTTACTTTGCCGTGACCCCTCACAAAACAAAGCAAGCTAACTAAGATAAGAAAAGCTCTTGCTAGGAGAATCAGGTAACTTGTACCCGTTAAGGAAGCTCCACTTTTAAGGTAGAACTGACCATCTTTTAAATATTTTGATCCTTTTTCTGTAAACCAAGAATGACCGCTTGGTTCCCTAGGAGGGGGGTGAACTGGAAGTCCTGCCTAGGCTACGATGCACAGAATCCTTCTTTCTCCCTTGATTTGGAAGCAGAAAAAAAAGAACCTAGCAGTCCTGGTTCTGTATTCAGAGTAATCACAGAATGTATGTGATAGTATGTGCGGTCAAGTCACTTCTACATTATGCTGACATTAATAAGATTTTTGAAGTATGTTTTGTGTCCAAGGACAGATTGACCATTGTGATCCTCCAGTGGGTTTCCATGGTTATATGGTAGTACGAACTCAGATCTCCTGAGTGCTCGTCTGACAATCTATCTACTACACCATATTTTTCCTCAAAATACTGGTTTTTAAAGACATGGGTTCCAGCTGAACCTGTGAAGCTTTCTGATCAAAAGACCTAGATCTGTGAATCGATACTGGTTTTTAAAGACATGGGTTCCAGCCGAACCTGTGAAGCTTTCTGATCAAAAGATCTGTGAATCATCTTGTTCATCCTGCGTTCCAGGCTTTCCATGTCTTCTACTTGTGGCTCTTGAACTGAACGTGCTTAAGGTTAAACTAGTGACCTACCAAACATGACACAAATTTGGCCATGGCAAAGCCAGAGGTTGGGAGTTCGATTCCCTGCTGTGCCTCCTGGGAGAAAAAAACCATCCTATGTAGCCTTGGGCAAGCTACAGAGTCTTTGAGCTCCCCCAGAAGGGAATGGCACTTCTGAGAGGGTTTTCTAGAACAGTGGTCCCCAACCTTGGGCCTCCAGATGTTCTTGAACTTCAACTCCCAGAAATCCTGGCCAGCAGAGGTGGTGCTGAAGGCTTCTGGGAGTTGTAGTCCAAGAACATCTGGAGGCCCAAGGTTGGGGACCACTTCTCTAGAAAACCCTGGAAAGGGTCACAACAAATCAGAATTGGCTTGACAGCACATACTTATTATTAGAAGAAAGCTACAACAATTATTTGCAGACTACCTAGGTATTGGATTTGCAAACTTCGCCTTCTAATAAACCCTCTGAAAAGTTTCCCTTAAAGTGCATGTTTAATACATGACAAAAGCAATATAAAACAGTTTCAAATACAACTTTTTTTAAAAAAAGGAATACTTTTAAAGGGAGCTCTAGATTCCACTTTTTTTAATCTCAGAGGTGCCATAACAGGAGTAAGGAGGCAAACTCTTATTTTTCCAACATGCCAGTAGAACAGACTCATAGCTAGTTGTCTGGAGATGATAGAATAGGTAATACACTCCCTCTGAAGAATACCAGGCTGAGGGAAACTTTTAGAAAGTTTCAGAAAATAAAAAGAACGTGGCTATATCATAGCTGGGGATCCCTCTAGCACAGTGGTTCTCAAACTGGGGTCCCCAGATGTTCCCAGAAGCCTTCAACTCTGGCTGTGCTTGCTAGGATTTCTGGGTGTTGCAGCCAAAGAACATCTGGTGATCCAAGTTTGAGAACCACTGCATCTAGTACATTGGTATTGCTTCTCCCCAGCATCTGACCTTCCAATGACAGGCTGTGGCTGAACCTGGAAGTTATCTCTAGCTGTCATGAGCTAATCACTGTTGTTAAACCCCAGTTTTGAGAACCACTGCATCTAGTACATTGGTTTTTTCACCAATCTGATGCTGCTCAGAGGCTCACCTGCAATGGCACCAGGGAAATAGCCCACTTGTATTGTTTCTCCCCAGCATCTGACCTTCAAATGACAGACTTTGCCTGAACCTGGAAGTTCTCTCTAACTGTCACGAGCTAATCACTGTTGCTAAACCCCAGCTGCTAGTAGGGAGGGATATAAATGTAAATAAACAAATCTCAGCTCCATGAATTCGTCCAGTCCCTTTACTCTGAACTCCGAAGGGCTGCTATTGACAAATGAGGATAGGGTGGGGGATTTTGATCTGGTGTAAAAAGCTTAACCTCAATGCATTGCACTGATGGTTAATTCACATGCGTATCTCTGTGCGAGGTGGTTCTCAAGAGCATTCATAACACCGGTGAAAATGAGGGAGCAATCTGTGTCCAACTCAGCTTCGTTGTGGACTTTTAAGAGTAGGATTCTTCTTGGAGGGGGTTACAGAAGTTAACAGCCTAACTTCATTCTGAAGAAAAATTTTAAGCTGGACGATTATTGCATATCCCTTAGCTGCATAAGGCATTGTTGGAGTTTTTTCATACAATATGTTAAGAATCTCCTGCATAATTCCACGGAGAACACAATCTGGAAGCTGTAGCTTTCTTATGAGGGATTTGGAGGTCTATGTAAATTATTCTAAAGCTATTCTACATGGGGAAAAGAAAAACACTTCTCGTATCTGCAATGACTCCCAACAAGCAGCACGCAAAATGGTGCTCAGAAGCAAAATCATGCTCAAGTGCAGATCACGGAACAGTTTACCAGTCTTTTTCTAAGTTTACCAGTGCTCTTAAAATATAGGTAGAACCTCCCTATTCACACTCATAAAAATCATGCACTTACCTCTGACATGACAGGTCTGAAGAAAGGCTTCCAGATTGTGGCAACAGTTATATTTCTACCATCCTCTCATTCCCCTTGAGACCTTATCAATAAATCATCTGCCTTTCCAGTCCCAATTCACAAGTAATAAGGCTCTTAGGGTGGAGTTCCCACAAGAAAGCTTTTCCAGAATACAAAACACGCTGGTTTACTGCTGGTTGGTTTTCTGGTGCATTTTCAAGGACCATCTTCCATGTGGTCACATTTAAAGCAGTCTCTAGAGTTGCTGTTTCCCTTTTCAAAGAGTAAGCCATGAAGGCTTAGGCTGTATTTCTGAAAAAAATCTGCTTTTAAATATATATATTCTCAATGAATCTTAGTTATTTATCTGTCCCCTTTCCCCCAATACTGGGAGCATAAGGCAGTTCATAACATGAGAAGAGACACATAAAAACACAGTGGCTAAGATCCTATTGCGATTGGTCTTGCATAAAGTTACACTGCCGGGAGTTTACAAAGAGTTACAACAGGCAGTGCACCTGTCTGGCTGTGTAATTAGTTGCACAATCGGCTGCACAACTAACCAAGCAACTAACCACACCACTGCATTCTCAAAACTTTCACCTAGACACAAATTTCACAATGGTTCCTGCAATCTCAAATTATGCAGGCATAGCTACACAACAGGATTTTAGCCAATAAGTTATTATAGTAAAATATACATGAGCAGATTGCCATATTAAAACAACTGGGGCAGTTTTAAAAAATTAAAACACATCAGAGAGGGGGAAAAGTGGTAACTGCCTAAATAAAAATATTTTTTCTGTTTGCAGAAAGACAAAAGAGAGAGAACAGTCTCGCTTCCCTTGGAATGAAGATCAAGGATGATCAAGTTTATTTTTTTTAATTGTAAAAACTGCTAATCACATATTACTGTATAAATCAGTATGTGGAACAAATGAAGTAGAAGAACTGACAAAAGATATTTGCATTTATTTAATTTATTTAAAACATTTTACCTCACCTTTCTCCTTTAAAAGGGACACAAGGCGACTTACATAATTGAAAGACAATATTAAAAATGGAGACAATTTACCTTTACATGTACATTTACAAAGAGATGGCAGTAAAATGTGTTGACTACAAATGAATCTCAAGCTGAATCCGCAAATATCATCTCAGCTTGCTAACTGTCTCCATTCAAGAATAATTTTTGTAGTTTCTCTTACCATTTAAATTTTATAGCATCTTAGCATGATAAGGAGTCTTCTAGAACCTGAAAGCTTATCTTATTTGTATTTTTTCAGAAATCCAGTAAAGGCTTTACTCAAGCTAGAACTTCTACAGATGGATCACATAGCTGCATTTTCGGTTGGCTAAATCCAATTTATTTATATACCCACTTGGTTTGAGGAGACTAGAAAGTTTATTTACTTACTTACTTGAAGTGTTTACATGTCATCCAACTGGGGATGCTCTTAGAGCAGTACACAAATATAAAATAGAAACAATCCATGAAAATCACAAGTTTCACAATCAGAAAAGTAAATGAGTGGAAAAGGCATCAAAGCATTATGGAACGAGAATGGTTAAAATTTCTTAAGAGCCAGGAATATGGAAATCAAACATAAAAATCAAGGACCAGATGCCTCCCAGAAAAGCAGGATTCTTGATGCCTTCCTTCTGAGTAGTCCTAATGGGAAAGTTCAGCAGAGCTTTCTTGGCTAAGGTGGCTGCTAACATCCAGTTCATGGGGGCAGTGGATCCACTCCAGGTTTTAATCTGAGATGACACAAATGACACTTTGATTTTAGTCATTGCAGCAGGAACACAAAGAACTTAGGCACACTTAGGACTTCTTACAAGTGAAAAAAAAGTCAAGAATGAGCTCTATGTACAGTTCTTGCTATGTCCAAGGTAGTAGAAGGCGCAAGGGTTCACCATTGAGTCCATCTTTGTTGACCCCCGGGCTGAACATGGGATAGAGACACTCAGTGAAGATGTCTGAAAAGGTGTAGATGTGGTCCATGAGGTCGGCGTCATAGAAGGAGACCTGTCCCCCTTCATAATCTAGATACACGCCCACTTTCTGAGGTTTGACCTTGAGAGACAGCTGCTTGGAAGGAGAATCAAGAGCCTTGTATTCGTTGCCATTCCGCAGCCAGATGGCCCAGAATCCATTGCTGGGCTTGAGCGTCACTTTGGCTTCCTTCCTGTTGACTGACTCTTTGGCCACACCAATGTCCCAGCTGGTTTTATCCCCCACTTCTACTTCCCAATAATGACGTCCTGAGGTAAACTCTTGGGCACCCAGCACACACACAGACTTGCTGAACCTCTCGGGCCCATCAGGGACTTCCTCCTCAGGATTGTCCTCCAGATATACACTGTCAAGATCCTTTGAGAGGACAAGGTTAGGGTGGTTGGTGGCAGGATCCAAGGTTATAAGACAGGGAGCTGTTGGAATTGAAGCAGCAGGCAGTTAACATACATTTGTCACAAAAAGGAGGTAAACCAATCTCTAGCCTTCCAGGTATTTTGGGTTTCACTTGCCAGAAGCTTTAGCCAGCATAACCAATAGTCGTTTCACTACACCTGCCAGTATTCAGCAGCAATTCCCCCAGCTAGAATTCTGGAAACTAGACAAAAAATCCAAGTTCTCAAAGGAATTTCAAGATATTCACCTATTCTATTCGCGAAAGCTTTCACGGCGGTGATCTAATGGTTGTTGTGGGGTTTTTTGGGCTCTTTGGCCGTGTTCTGAAAGTGGAGTATTTATGGCTGTGAGATAGGCTTTTGTCCTATTCTGG